AAAATCAGTAATACTTAAGCTTTTACAAATTTTGAAACCCAATAGGATCCATGTGTGTACAAACCAGAGTTTTTCATATTTCATTATAGTTAGAGTTGTTTTACACACATAATTTTATATTCTCTAGAAAAATATCTACTTAAAGATTTATGATACAGGGCCCTCCCTGGTGGTGCAGCAGGTTAAAGCACAGCACTGGGAAGCTAAAGCCACTTCAGCATGAGTTCGATCCCTGTCCCAGATGTGACCCACATGGCACGGCAGACTTAGCCTGACCCGCCTGCTGCTCCCCTCAGCAGTGTGCTTCATCAGTTGGCCTGTTCTGCTCCCCAATCTTGTCTCTCACTGCCCCTGCACCTCTGGCCTGTACCCCAGTTCTGTATGCATAAATAAATGAATCTTTTTTAAAAAGATTTATGATACAGAGTTAATGCTAAGCATCTAAAAATCTAAAATAAATATCGTAAGACATACCATTGTCAGGAGCTTCTCTGGTGGCACAGACAGGGGATTAAGTCTCAGCACTGCCTATGTAACTATTGACAGCCCCTCAAGCACAAGTTCAACCCATAGCCATGTAGCTGACATACTTCTGTTTCACCAGCTGCTCCCCTCAGCAGTGTATTTCAGTTAATCTGCCTATTCTGTTTCCCATTGTCTCTTGTGAATCCTACCCCATGCCCTCCCCATACACATTCACACCTCTGCCCAGCACCCCAGCTCTTGTATACTACATAACTAAAAATAAATCTCTTAAAAAAAAAAAATCACTGCCTTACAAAAAATTTTTCAGTATTGTTTCTGAATTTTATTTCAAGTGAAATGTCAAAATGACAGACATAGGAGAAATCCTGACAAACTAGTTGTTACTTGAAACCCATGATTAACCAGTAACCTGACCCCTTCATCCTCCCAGAACATCAGCACCAACTGGAAAATAAGTTTGACATGTGTAAGCAGAGATGAACTTGGCTATCTCTAAGGCATACAGGATACTTATAGTGGAATAAAAGGGTTAAAGGTAGACATCCATATGTCCTGCAGGTTAATACATTCAGATAAGCACAAATTTAGAGGTAATTACTTAGTCTTTACATTGTGCTCAAAAACAGACATACAAGACATTTCAGAAAGGCTCTCATACAAAAAAAAAATATTTATTTTTTAAAAAGTTCAGTAGGAGGGCCCTCCCTGATGGTGCAGCGGGTTAAAGCACAGCACTAAGAAACTAAAGCCACTACCGCATGAGTTCGATCCCCGCCTATCCCGGAGGTGACCCACAATGCGTGGCAGACCTCTCCTGACCCGCCCGCTGCTCCTCTCAGCAGAGATCTGCCTGTTCTGCTCCCCACTCTGTCTCTAGCCGCCCCAGCACCTCTGGCCTGTACCCCAGTTCTGTATGCATAAATAAATAACTCTTTTTAAAAAATGTTCAATAGGAAAAGAGATGTGTTACACACATATAAGACAGTTAAATATTATAATATATATTTTCATATAAATGAAACATTATAGAATGTCTCTCAACCAAGACACCAAAATGTCTAATTCATTGAATAGGTGTTTTTCTATTCATTTCTGTTCTGAACTCTAGATTCATTATCTATTTACTTAATAGGCATTTTCTAACAATAAGTAAAATGAATTCTAGCCCCTCTGGATCATGCATTACAATAAAGGGGAGACAAAAAGTGAAAAAGGGAACATGTAGGCTATGAGGTTGTAGGAAGCTCTGGAGAGTAGAACTAATCATAATAAAGTCACTAGAGCATGTCAGGGCTTGAATTAGGCTTTGGTGTTTTTTTGAGAGTATAAAGGGAAGGTCTCATTATTTCAGTATTATTTAGAGGAAGACTAATATGTTCTGCAATATTTCAGGACAAAGTTAGAATTTAATTTTAAAAACACCAAAAAAATTGTTAAAATCTGTAGAGAGAAACCAAATGTTTAGTCATCTTAGATATCTATCTCCATGGGAGAAATAGTGAGGAATGAATTATACAAACCATAAAATAAAATTTATTTGTTAAATACAAGAGTTGTTCATCACGAATCCAATAAAAAGAATATGTGGCTTGTTGGCATAAGCTGGAAACTTATAAAAAAGGACTAAAACAAATAAAGGTCATAAAGTAGCTACTTTCTGACTAAAAATCATTTTTAGGCTTCTTCTATGAAGGAATAAGTCTTTAGTCCTTATGTGTCAAACACTACATTGAACTTGGAGATTAGCAGAATGAATTTGGCCATGGCTTCCTTGGGGACCTCAGGCAATTAGTGACAGACACATGTGTGTAGATAAAGAATTACAGTTACTCTGTTTGTGCACACAGAAGTTCAAGGCCAAGATTAACCAGGCTTCCTGACCTTAGGTAAGTTGGACCTCTCTGGATTGCTAGGAGGAACAGAAAAGCTAAGGATATTCCGGGACAAGACCTACATATGCAAAGACACTCATCATGCTCAGAAAACGAAAGTTGGGTGTTCTTAGAAATTTCTCTACAAGAAATGTTGACTGTAAGCTACAGGTGTTTGGATGGACAGGGAATGACTTGTCCATAATGAGAAATTTGAAATAAAATCTGGGACTCACTACCTCGACAATATAAATGAGACAGAAGTTGTTTTCATGTAGTAATTAGTTGAAAAATCAGAGATGCCTTATGTATTAACTGATAGCTTTCCTTTCCTATTAGTTTCTAGAGCAATGAGCCAAGTAAATAGGACATGAGCACAATAATTTTAAAAGTTACTTTTAAAAGACAATAAAACCAAGTGTTGGCAACAATAAAAGAGCAAATAGCCACTCTCAATCTCTGACAAAATTAATAAATTAGTTAAATAGCACAATTTAAGGAACATTAGAGATATCCACTGACGTTGCAAACCTGCGCTGTTACCCATTCACTTTAGAATCACAAAGAGATAGAGGCTGGAGTCACTGCAAGAGACTCCATGAAGGAGGCAGAGAAAGAGAGCCCTCGAGGTATATAGCAGGTGAGCAGAAGAACCTGGGGTCACCTGTGTAGGTGGAAAGACAGCTGACAAAGAGCAAGGGTGGCTAGACTCTTAGTGGGATGAGCAGGGCACTGGGAACAGACAGGAGGGCAGAGCACAGCTGGAGTCTGAGAAGATGTCTTGAGCTGGTATGAAAGACCACTGAGGGCTGAGTGCCAGTGGATGTAAGGCAGAGGACTAGCAGGCTGGTGGGGACTCGGGAGTTTTGAGCAAGCACCACAGAGCAGAGAGCACCCGATAACACTTGTTGGATGACATTGCACTGTATACATCTGTGGTTTATCTTACTTGATACTCACAGGAGATACAGCATTTATTTTTGTTATCTATATGGGACTCTCCAGCTGAAGAAATAAGTGGAGAAAAGAAACTTGCTGGAAACCAAACTACAGCATAAGGGGGCCCTTTGTACCCCTGGTCTTGGGGACCCACCGTCTGTAGCCTTTTCCTTGCCAAAAGTTTTCAGCATCCAGGACATGTTAAGCAGAAGTTACAAGGGGAAAAAAATCTGTAATGAAATTCCTGTTCTCCAGTCTGGTTATGCTTTATATTTTGATTATAAAATTAAGAAATCTCATCAAGATTAAACAATACAGTCCCACCCATTGCAAACCCTGTGGTTCCAGATTTATAATGCTCCATTTTCTATAGAAAGTGCAGAGCATCAGTGCTATCAGTTTCTGTCTTTCAGTGATCTGTGTTTTACAAGAAGTTCACATTTGTTGTTTAATGACTGAGTAATATTGTGTTCATTGCTAATAATAAACTCTAAAATTTTTAGTTTGCAGACTCGTATAGAAGTATTAAAGTGACTAGTTGCTTCTCCCACAGAGGAACTTTACTAGGTCACACATTGCCAAATAGCTAGAAGACTTGTGCTAATTTACAATTCAAGCAATTTCCCTGCATAATCATCCCAGTACTAGGTATTCCCTTTAATCTTTAGGACATCGATTGCTAATGCAAAGTTGCTGGAATTTATTTTTAAGAATTTCCAGCCAAGCTGAACAGTTTTTCATGTGTTTGTTCACTCACAATGTTTCCTCTTGTGCAGAATTTTGCCCTCAGTCTATTCAAGTGTCCATGTTTTCCTGTTTCATCTATGTGAACTCAAAGAAAAGAAACTCGGATTAAAATTGTGCCTCCAGCTCTGTTTATTATTTGGGCCTTTTCCCTATCCATTTACCAAAAAGCTTAAAAGAAATTACTGATGCCTTTTGTTTATAAACCTCACCTTCCCCTGAAATAATTGGTATAGATCAAAGGAAGCAGAGGGAGGGTACCGCAGAGTGATCAGCTGATAACCATTTCTCCTTTCATTTACCGAGCCTAGCAGCTTTCACATTAGAGAGATCACACACACGGTTTATTTTTTCCTGATAGACAACCAGCTATTTTACTGTGAAGGTGGGAGGGAACAGTCTTATCTGCACATTAGAATGGAATCAATGAAAAGAGCTGCCTGTTTGCTCTAAGGAATGAAGTAGAATATAGTGGGGAAGGGAGATAGGATAGGGGTATTTGTTTTTGTTTGTTTGTTTTGTTTTTAAGTGGTTATAATTAAAGCCTTCCATGCAATTGCTCTGTGAACCAGAAAAGGGTTATTTGTGGAGTTGAGTGTTTTTAACACCCAAATGAGACTCGCCGCCTTCTCTACAGGAAAAACTTGCTCTTCAGCGGCACCTTGTGTCAAGTGTGTCGTCCTGCAGCTTGGATCCTTACTATATGATTAAACAAAATTGCCTCTGATTTGTTTCTTTCTCTTTACCCACTTCCCTCCTAAAGTAGTAAAGAATCTGTGAAAGTTACCTTAGCGACTGTATTTCTGTATAAAAATAACTTGACCATAAGCTGCTTCTCTGTCTACATAAATTGTGTATCAAACCAGGTAGCTATAGTGATTTGCTGCCTCATTAGTCTGTGGAATGTTTAAGTTCATTCCGGAAAGCACTAATTTGAGCTTTAATTTTTTTGTTTGGCAGGTGGAAACAAGTTAACCAAGCAGCATTTTCGTCTGAATTGGGCTTGGATCTCCTTTGAAAAGGAATATTACCTCATCAACGAGGACTCCAAGTTTCTAGATGTTGTACTTAAACGTAGAGGTTACTTGGGAGAAACTTCGTTTATAAGTAAGTTTCATTCGCACTTATCCCTCAAACTCTCATTTTTCTATTTTACAGGGATTAAAAATACATTTAGTTTACTGTTCTAGTTTTAAAGCTCACTTAGGGAGATGTTGACATGTCAGGACTTTTTGCTAAAAAAAAAACACGCCACAAGTTCTGTATCAAAGCTAAATCACAGAGACAAAAGACTGCAAAAAAAGCAGGAAAAAAATGTGTAACAATAACACATACCTCTTCAAATCTACTAATATAAGATCTTTCTTTCTCACATAGCTTTACAAAACTAGCAGTAAGCACTCATAAGGTAAAAAATATTTATCTCTCATTAACTCTTAGAATCAGCTTAAGCAAATCTGGAATTTATCCAAAGATAAAAGTCTGCTGAAATGCTAGTGTAAAATATATGTGAAGTCTCCTTCAATACAAACCGAAAAAAGCTGTTCAGTAACTTATTAGGCATTACTAGCCATTGATGTGTAATTTGTTTTTGTTGTACTTTAGTGTTTTAATAGGTCATGCAAAATGTCAAGAACCCAATTCTGTAGAATGTGTTGTGGCTTTTTCTTCATAACTGACAATAATGTTATAAAGCATTAATCATTTTCAGCTGTTTTACCCTTTTAACTAAAGCATGGGTTTATTAACATTTTTTCAACTGCAATGCCAGGTCACATTCAATTTCACATAAGTGTAAAATAAAGCAAAAGCGCTGGTCATTTTAAGTAGTAATATACTCAGCATAAAATGTTGATGAAAAATAGTAGCATCCTGAGCAACAGTTGGTCCACGCAACACAAGTCTTACAATAGATCACACACACACACACACACACACACACCTACACTAGATCTTTGCCAGAGCCACAATCTCCTATGCCCCTTTATGATTTCTCCTGTATGCTGGCTTCTGGATATTAGTTGCCTTTTATTTTCAAAAATTTAAAAAGTTCCATTTTTAACTTCAAGAGTTTTCACGCTACGCTCTGCTGATCCCTTTCAGGGAATTCGGTCTCCAGGGAGCTGAGTCACTTGCTCACCCCACCATGCCAGGGCAGCCATTCTTCCTTCTTGTTTTGCATGAACCTCTTCACAGACTGTCATTTACACTCTCTATGCCTCACCTTCTAGAACATAGTGAACGTTATTTTCTAAGTGTGTATTCTCTCACAATACCCAGTCTGCAGATCAGGAATTTGATCCCGTCACTAAGAAATTAGCCTTCACAGTGTTTCTGCTTGAAAATAGGGGAAATAACTTTTTAAAAAGAGTCTTAGCAATTCTTAGGAGTGTTACCATCGTCTCTGGGCTTTTCCCAAATCTCCTCTCCTAGTGAGTATATTTACTCATTCATGAATAGCCCATTGATATACATGGGAAGTTAATGGTGGAGAATATTTTTAAACTATCTTTTTATATTTCGTTTTCGCCATTGCTTTTTTCCTTATGCTGAAGACTAAAATTTCAAACAAAAGTTCCTTTTTTTCCCAGGCATCAGTGCCTGCTATTCTGCAAAGGGTCTACAACTGTAGACCTTGGTTAATCCTTCCATGATTGCTTACCAAACTGGGCTGGTAGAACGCTGGAAGGACTTCTGTGGTGGATGTACCCATCAATAGTTGCAGATGGCGGTGGGGTTCATGTTAGGACTGGGGATGTACATCACATGAAAGGGTAGTCTGGTAGAAGATTTTTCTTGATCATGTAATGTTCCACTGCACTCTCCATCTTCATGTAAAGAACTGTATAAATTATTTGCATTGTCTCTACAGACGCTTATCTTCAGGATAAGTATATCTAAATAACACTTACCTTCAGGAGCACAATTAGTGAGCCATGAACTACAGGTATCTCCCATTTTTTGAAAGTTCACATTCCACTACTTCACCAGAGAGAGTACCTGTTTTTGTTTTTGCTTTTTTTTTTTTTTTGAAGTTTTATTTATTTATGCATACAGAACTGGGGTACAAGCCAGAGTTGCAGGTTGAGAAAGGATTCACCAGAGATAGTGCGGGAGCAGAATAGACAAATTGACGAAGTACACTGCTGAGGGGAGCAGCTGGAGAGGTCTGCCGCCCTGTGTAGATCATATCTGGCGCCGGGTATCGAACTTGCATTGCGGTGGCTGTGGCTAGCTTGCAGTGCTGCCTCCTAACTGGTTGCACCACCAGGGAGGACACTCGAGTACCTGTTTTTGCTACCCAAAGAAATCTGAAGAAGAATTTTGCTTTTATGATAAAAGAGGAAAAGTGAAGATACCATTCAGCATTTGTTTTGCAGCAAATGATCATAGAGGCTCTGAGCACTCCCAAGAAGTAAGAGGGACACCAAACCCCTCCCCAGGAACTGCTTTATCTGGGCTGTGTATTATCACATCACTCCTACTTACTTTACATGTTAGTGTTATTTTTGGTTTCATGATGTGATTTGGTGGGCTATTTTAAGGGTGCAGGAACACTTAAAAATTTTCCGTATGCATTCATGGTAGTTGCTTCTCTTTTCACCATTTCAGTTTATGGTGTGTTTCATAAGAATGCTATACTTGTGTATAGCAGAGGAAACCTGTAATAAAATTTCACCATGTGTTATCTCAGAGATAGATTATGTACTTTATAACCATCATAATTCATTTATAAATTAAAATGTATTTGCATCTCACAAAATATTTGAACTTCAAAGATCTCATTGCTACCAGCTTTTGAACATTTACTCAATACAGGCGTCTTCATTACTCATCTCTATAAGAGACTGATGGGGTTTTGCAGTGTCAGTATATGTCTGCCCACCTCAGACTTCCACATGCTTAAGACTTACCCAGGCATCTTCCTGAATGTTGATGCAGATTCATTATATCATGGTGAGACTTGAGATTCTGCATTTCTAAGAAGCTTCCATGTGTTGCTCTTGCTGCTAGTCTCTGGCTCGTACTCTAAGTCACAAGATAGGGTAACACTCTCTCAGTAAGTCTGTGTTACTTCAAAAAAGGGAGTCACTATTTTGGAAAATCCAAAGCAATTTTATCATTCCATTTTGAACTTATTTTACCTTAAGAAAATGACATTCTTCTTAGTTTAGTCTCCTGTTTTAGAAGCATTTTAAAATAACCATATTTTTCATAAGATACATCCCATCTTGCTTGTTGAAACAAAAAAAAAATGTCAGTTTATAATGTATATCTGATTGGGAAACTTACAATATCTACCAAAAAAATTATGGGAGTGTTTGCAACATCAATTGGGATTTGCTATTACAACCTACTTCTTATTAAAGTGGGTGATTTAACTATTACTGAGAAAAGATGATTATTTGGAACTAGTGGATATTGTTGTAGTCTATAAACGCCTTAAAAAAAAAAAACAGAAAAACTACCCTTTGAATCTCCATGAAAATCACATGTTGTTGTTCATGAAACAGAAGAAAATGAAAAATAGTCCAGAGCCTGCAAAGCAGATTTTTTTTTTGCCGGTCATGCCACTATGATAGATTGGTCAGTGAGTGCTAGAACCTCAGTGAGAATGGCTCCTTTCTTCTTCACCTTGAATGGTGGTGGGACCAAGAGGGTTGACGTCTACCCTGTGTGCATTAGGAACTAGAGAGCTGATAGGAAGTCTGAAACGTTCAACAAAACATGTAGTGCTGGATTTCCTGGTTCTTTTTTTGCCATTGTGTAAGTCATGTTGTACCTGCTATTATGTATTATGTAGCTTCTTTGTTTTTCTTAAAAAATCTACAAGATAGAAATATCTTAACACAAATTTTATTTTCATCTCTTTTTTTTTAGATGAAACGCAATCATTGATATAATTAGACAAAAAAAAATGCAAGTCTATCTTGTAAAAAGCATCACAAGAGCAAGATTATTTTTTTCCATTAGGTTTACTGATATAGTCCCAGTGTTTATAACAGACCTGGCACATAGTACCCTTACTCGATGAATTTTTATGACTTGAATTCTAGTTTGAAGAACAGAAGAATGTTATAAAAATTTTCAAGTAAATGAGAAACAGTATGAAGAATGTAACTTTGGATATTTTAATTCTGAATATTAGATTAATTTCTCTTTTTAAACTGTCCAACCAAATGTTCTGAAAATATCAGTATTTAAAGATATATATTTGGTTCTATTAACTCATTCAGAGGTTCTAGTGCAGAACTTCAGGATATATTACGATGGTATTATTGTAATTTTTCTGACATTGAATTTGTGGAATGTTACTGCTAAGAATAATATATTCTATGATTTGAGTACATTGCCTAATAATGTGAAGATTCCTGGTAATTGACATTGACATTGAACCAACAAAGTTAGCCAAATGTACTCCTCATCAAAACCATATATGCTGAGTTTTCTTTTACACATATGGTTTCCTGTAAGTCTGGTGTGTCCATGAAGAAAAACCTGGCAATGTTGATGCTAACAAACACAGAGTTGAAGTCTTTTAAGGTTTTAATTCCATTAAATGTTTAGGGAGCATTATAAATTTTTATGCTTGGCCATTGATGACTTACATTATCAATGTATTCTTGGGTTTTATTTTCTAAGTAGGAGTTTCCTCCATGTTCTTATAACCTGAAGCATGAAATAGAATACATGTAACAGTAATTGTGAAGTGTTAAATTGTATGAACAAGTAGGAAACAAATATCAATTTAGCCTTGTTTTACAAAAACACAAACCTAGCTCAAAGGGTAGATAGCAAAACCATAATTGGGGCAAGAATCCAACAGAATCATGAACTACCCTATACCCTTATAAGACCCATACCTAACCATCCATTTTGTGAAATCAATGCAAGATCAGCCTTGCATTTCGGGATAAAGTGACAAAAATAGCTAACAGACCCTAATCATCCAATTGAAAATAATATCATGTTTCCTTGAAGGTATTGGCACAAGAGATGGGACTGCAGAAAAAGACAAAGACTTCAAGGGCAAATCACAGAAACAGGTGCAGTTCAACCCTGGCCAGACCAGGGCCACATGGAGAGTGCGGGTCGTGAGTGATGGGGAGCACGAGCAGTCTGAAACCTTCCAGGTGGTTCTCTCAGAGCCAGTGCTGGCTGCCCTGGAATTCCCTGCAGTGACCACAGTGGAGATCGTTGACCCAGGAGATGGTAAGAGCTAACACCGACCTATTTTTGCTGTTGAATTTCTATTACAAATAACCTTATAGAAGAAGTTTTAAATTCAATATGTAAACTTTTCGTAAGAGGTCTTGCTGGATTAGTGGCTCTGTATTCTCAGAGACTGTGATGACAGGAGAGGGAATCAAAACCTCATGAAGGAAAGCTATATTATTTCAAGTAAATGATATATAAATATGGGTATGATTACCAGCATGTTCTCTTATTATTATTATTCTGTTCTTTAGAATTAATATTGCTCAACTCAGTTTTCTTGAATTAGTTCATTACTTTTTAAAGTTTTCAAAATAAAATGTCTTTAAAAATGTCCTTTAAGCAAATGATTTAAGAACTAGACCATTTGGGGATTAATTTATTCCACATATTATACTTAATTATTCAAGTTTCCTTCATGTATTCATGTACCAGCCAAAAATTTTCATTTGGCCATATGTTCTTACATTTATTCCTTAATACCCTCCACCAACTCCCACTTCTTTGTGAATAGTGCATGAATCACTGTGCTTACTTTCTGTTAGATTAGTTGTTTTTTTTTTTTTTTTTGCCGGTGCACACCCTTGGCCGATTTTGGTAGAAATGAACCTCGAAGCTTTTGTGTGTAACTTGACCTTCCCCTCCCCTTCTTCTACAGTCCTGGCTTGTCTCAATGCAATTGTGGGGGGTAAGGGGAGGTTGAATGGCTTTTTGAGTGCTGGCATTTATACAAAGCTTGAAGAGACTCTTCTAAAGCTGAAATTCTGTCAGAAACCAGACGTGACTTTCTTTTAAATAGGCAGCCTACTTTATTTTGTCAGTCAAAAAACTCTTAAATGTTTTGTGAAGATACAATCTACTAAGCAGATGAAATGGAGACATGTGTGGAACTCTGGGTTAAAAGACTGAGTATAATTAAATCAAGAGCCTAAGAGAACTGGAGCTTGGTTTTGTTTGTTTAATAACATTTCTGCCTTTAGTTAAATATGAAGTTCAGTTATGTTTGTAATTCCCATTGAAGAACAGTTAGCATTTAACTACACTTAATTTTGCCTTCATTATCTAGGAATAAATAATTAATGTTTCTTCTAGGCTTAAGTTTTGGGTTAAGTGCTAGTATAATAAAGCTTCTTTCTTTTGAACAAATCCATCATAGATTTAATATATATACACACTGACTTATTAGAGTTTATTTGAAACCACTTCTTGATTTTGTTTGCTAATTTGTATTGTCATACTTTACCTTAAGGCATAAGACACTTAAAGTCATTTGTGCCTTCCTATATAAGCCCATAATGACACTCTATAGTCTATACCCATCTTAGATCTCAGAAGTAAAATATTAAAATTTCAGTGGATGAGGGTTTTCTCTACCACCAAGCACCAACAATTCAATAGTTCTACAATACAACTCAATTCTGACTCAGTTCTCACTTCACTCATTTCTGAAGATGGCCTCAGATTCTCCCACACCTTAAGAACTCAGTCCCACAAGACTGCCCTCCACTTCAGATGCCAAATACAAACCCAGCTTTGTTACCTGTGCTTCAGATCAACCAAGTAGATTAGAGGTTTCCAGGTCCCCTGCTTGGGTTCAATTATTTTTAATACAAAGGTTCACGAAAACCAGGAGACCTGTTAACTATCAGGGTTACTGAATAAATACACATGATATTAAAGGAAATGAATGAACAGTCTGATGAAGAGACACATAGGGTGAAGTCCTGAACGAAAGAGCCTTGTGGGGCTGAGGCCTGACATTATGGTACCTGGAAATATCATGGTTCACTACCCGGCAAACTTACCACCATGATTCACAGTCCAGTCCACGGGCTTTGTGGAGACCCCATTAGATAGGTATCATTGGCCATCTCACTGGCCATCAGTAACTGATTCAAGCTCCAGTCCTCTCACCTCTCTCAGAAGTTAAAGTGTATGTGAGAGTGAATGCTCCTGTCCTATAATCACATGTTTTTTGCCACTGTTAACCAACCACTATCCTTAAGTGCTTTTTATTTGATATTTTAGGACACTCTCAAATCTTATGTGTGACAGACTTTAAAATATTGGTTCCCAAATTTCATGACAAAGAAGCAAAACAAAATGTCCACACCTACATTCACACAAGCATAAATATACATACAACTCTGGATTCTTACATGTTCATAATTATACTCATTTTTTGCTTATATTTTTTAAATTATGTATTTGTAATTTAGGTAAATATTTTAAGTGGCAATTTTATTCAGTGTGTGCGTATCTACACCCACTGCAAAAATAATGCATATACTCATGTGCTTCTTTATTGAGCTTGGACCTTCATACACGCATAGAAATCTGTGCACATTTAGTGCCCTGCGGCTGCTCTGTAATGACACTCACACCTCCAGATGTATGTGACCCTGTCACTGGGAACCACAGCTCTATAATCAATAGAGTTGACCCCTTTCTACAGCCTAGGTCCAGCCATCACACTTTCCTCATCATCCTAGGAGCATCGTTCATTTCAAATGCCAGAGACCAGTGAGAGTCTGATGGCAACTGGCACCCTAATCCCCATCCTGATTGTTCTGTGGTAACCATGCCTGAGTGGGGGTAGATTTCCAGCATGAGCACATGCAGATACTGCTGTCTGTTTCTACCAATCAAAAGACTAGCCAGGCACAGGTCAGCTCTTACTGGGCTTGGGAAACTCACACAGTTTGTTGTGTGTGACTCACCAGGATGCTGTGGGAACACAAACTAGGAACTAGTTCTGACTTTGTTATGAAGATTCACAACACCTTAGACAAATGGGGTTATTCATTTCTTCAGTAGATCAACAGATTTTATTTGCCATGAATTGTATAAAGAGAAAAACTACAAGAATAAGAAAGCAAATCGCCAAGCAGATGTTCAGCTTTCTTTGTCATACCTCGCAGGCCTCAGATGTCTGTGCTCCTCAACACCCTGTGGAAATTCTGCTACATCATCATTTTGTCATGAGTTTTCCCTCACTATTTTGTCCTTTTGTACACCTTTGATAATCTCCCTAGTTTCAGTTTGATTCTACACTCTCCTTCACAGACACATAGAAAGTTCCATGTGGAAGGAATATAAATGTATATTTAATGTTTGACTCATTTTGTGGAATGGAAGCCTGAAGAATGGAACCATCCTTTACTTTCTGTCAAAGTCAGCCTCTAGCAGTCTGTTTTATTTGATTAGCTCTATTATTGGCAGAGATGGGTGGAGTTATACTTCATCTGCGGGAATGAATACTCCTCTGAAATGCTGTTGAATGGGGACAACTGACTTCTGTTAGAATATCCTCTGCAGCTAGGCTGGACTGTGATCAAAAGCAGACAGCAGATTTCCATGAGATGAAGAGGGCTTTGAGGAAATCCCTGCCCTAGTATCTAATTCAGTCCAAGGAATCCAGGAGGTCCAGGGTTTCACATTTCCGGTCTCTACCATGTGAGAACTCCTCTGTGAGCCAGATTCTGCACCAGGAGGTCTCAGCCTTACTGCAGTTAAGCTTTGTGTTAGTAGCAGCACACACACCCACACACAGAAATTAATTCCTTCTTTCTTATTATGCTATCATATATACACATGTGTGTGCACATCTACATGTGTGTATATACATGTGTGTGAATCATACATGTGTATGTGCATGTGTGTGTCAAGCCTCAAATATACTAGTGTGTGTAACTAAAAGATAATCAAGATCACTTCAGCCCTTGCATTGCGTATCTACATGTTCCAATATTGACTGAGCATCTGCTAAATTCCAGGAAGTCTATTGTGAACAAGGGGTACAGGTGCTAGAGAAAAAAGGCACACTGTTTCTGATCCCCTAAACTGTTATAATTAGCACTACAGGTGCTCTATGCTAAGATAAGGGATCAATCAGCACTGATAGAAATATCTACCCTCAGACCAACTCTAAAGTTCCAAATATGAAGATTAAGTTCCCCATGAAAAATTCCATTGTCTCTTCTACTCTTAAAAACACATACATTGGTTAATATTAAACATTTTAATTTTTGTTAAGAGGAAAATATGTAGGACCTAAAAATTTATGTATATAAAGGTGTTATTAATTTTTTTACTTCATATAATATCTAACCAGAGTAAATTGAGTTTTATGTACATTTGTTAAAAGAACACAGCCTCAGTTTTATAGCTAAATGAGTTCAGACACCTAACACCAATCTCAAAAGCCTGTAAAAACTTTATGCCATTATTTCATTTTTACACTTGAAGTATCTGCAAACTTCTGACTGTAATAGACTCATTCTGCTATTTTTATAATACTATATCTGGGAACTAGTGCATAAAATACTTGATGTTTGTAACCATTTTTGGTGGGAACAAATAAGGCTAATACTATATGACATTTAGTGGAAATCAACATATTCCTCTATGGGGAGGTAGAACTTATATCTAAAAAACACTCAACTCATGGGATACAAAAAAAAGGCAAATTTTTGTGTGTTCTGAGTGAGCCCAGCCCATCTCATGAGATAGGACCCAGATGACATGAGCTGACCATTACACAAAATCAAAGCATTATATTATTTAAAACATTTTGTACCATTGACAGTGTTAATATAGGAAAGTCACTGGCTAGCTGGTAGCTCGAGATATGTGAAGGTTTATATGGGGGTAAACTGCAGCTTATGACAGAGAAGTGGTGAGGAATGTGTGTGCTTCAACTTTAATCGTTATCAGAGATCTTTTCCTTTTAAACTCCATTACTGTGAAGCATAGACCATCATTTTAAGAGAAACAAAATATTCTAAACACTTGTTAAAAGCATAGCACACAATTTCTGGCAACAAATGTGGGTAAGAAAAAAATATAGTGCAAAACAAAGATAGGTTAGTGATGTCAAACTTTTTGGAATGTTCTGCCTTCACTATTTAATAAGCAAAGATCCCCCACTAACCCAACATCTTTGAATAGTGCCAAGAAAGTAATTTGGAGAGTTCATCCTGAGGTGAATTTGTAAT